TGCAGCCTATCGGTGCCCATCACTGCAGTTTCATTAGCGCACATCAGTGAAGGAGACAAATTACTCATTTATAAAATTTTATAACAGAAGCTAAGAGAAAAACTTTTTTTTTCAAAGTTTTCAGTTGTTTTTGGTTTGTTTATCACAAAATAAAAAACTCAGAGGTGATTAAATACCACCAAAAGAAAGCTCTATCTGTCTCAAAAAAAATGGTAAAAATGTCATATAGGTACAGTGTTGCATGACCGCTCAATTGTCATTCAAAGTGCGACAGCTAGGTAAATCTCATTGGTTTCAATGGTGCCCATTCTAATCAAGGTGACTTATAAAAGGTTCCTGCACTATTTTGGTGCATTTTACAGTGCGACTTGGCCCAACAGAATATGCGAAGTCGCACCACATAACCGTCCTGTAAATTGCATCGTCGCCACATCGCTGTAGTGTGATCTGAGCCTTAAAGAAGCGGAAGTGGATTTAAAAAATATTGAAAGTTACCTTTTTGACAGAGGAAACTCTGTAGGCCTTATTTGCCATAATATTTCTCCCTGGCCTGCAGAATTTTATTTTCCAAGTGTACACTGAACCATTCCCATTTTTAAGTAAAGAAAAACTTTTCAAAGCCCTTTTTTACTCACCAGAATCCACTGTCCTATGCACCTCTGCAGCGCCTCTTCCAGGAGTGAAGACCAGTAATCCACCACTGTAGTCCAGGCCTGCTGCCAACCAGTTTTCTTGCCGCCATGTCACCATTCCAACTCTCGAGGTTTCACAACCCTATGAGGCCACTGCCAATAGGCCCAATGGGTAATATCCACATCTTTAGGCAGCAAGGTGGGCACCTCCCAAGGAACCTCCCAATTGCAATCGGGAAAGAAGAAACTCTGGACCCAGTGCATCATGTGATTGTGGATTTAGTTGAGTATTTGGGCCATTTTTAGATATTTTTGGGCAGGTGGGTATTGTTTCTGGCGGCTAACTTGGCCAGACGTAATCTAATTTGCCATTCTTGGAGTCACTGTTTTTGTCACTGTTTTAGTATTCAGACAACCGCTGGTGCTGCCTGAACACAATAGGCGCCACTGCAGATTTCTCTACCCACACTGTTTAGGGTGGATGGGGGAATCTACTGACTGCTGTCATTCAGCCCACAAGACGTTTAGCCATTTACAGCTAGTTTTTATCTAAAATCTCGTCCCCTGCACATGTTAGTAGGGTGACAACACCTCCTTTCACTATTTTGGAGCAGCAATGTTACCATCCTTCTATGCATACTCCCACAGAGATCTGCTAGTGGAAGTGCTAACACATCCAGCATCAGCTTAAAGGAGAAAATTCAGTCATGTCTGCAAAAATTTAGTCCGCAACTAAAAAACTATAGCTGCTGACTTTTAATAAACAGACACTCACCTGTCCAACGATCCAGCACCATCCTTGCTGTCTTCTTATTTATTTATTTTTGTTAGGATGTTAATAAAGAAATGTAAAATAAATAGGAGGGGTGTTCAAGTCGAACCGAGACTTCTCAGTTTATATAATAAAATAACACATTTCAAGGAGTGGAAATTGCATTTATTTTTGACTTACTCCCCTGCTGCATTTATACACTTATCCCAGTGTTTAATGCCTGGAAAGCTTCAGCATAGAAAGATTTGTCAGTACGCCTGAACCATCCTAGGACAGCCGGCTTCACTTCGTCATCATTGTGTTCATGTTCCCAACACGGAAAGATTTGTCTCTTGTGCAGTGTCACGACAGGTTATGCGTTGATTATCCAGGATCAGGCGTTACACATGCTGTATGTTTACAGGAATGACTGCTGTAGTCTGGGAACCACCACTCCCGGGATCGTCACTGACGGACGTACAGTCATCAGTGAAACGTTTACACCATTCACATGTTTTACTTTAGCTGAGTGTCTCATCACTGAACTGTGGTTGACGTCTTCTGTTTATATCTGCAGGTTTTGCGCCTTCGTTCACAAGAAACTTCATCACCTCACGCTATTCCATGCACGCACTAACACTGTTGCCTCCCATCTTGATTAACAGTCTCTGTCCTGGCCCACAGCATGTGCGCCGCCTTTCAGTAATAGGACACACTTACTACTGTGTGTAGTAGCATCCCTTTTTATACCTGTAAAACTAAAAGTCCTGGTTTGACTTGAACGCCCCTCGTAAAAATAAATGCAATAAATTAATATGTAATAATAAAAAATTAGCCACTACCTCTACCGAAAATAATTAAATGAATAATAAAATAATTATAAACCACAAACAGTGTGGCCAGTCAGTGGGGAAAGCAAATCGAATTCTAGGATGCATCACTAGAGGGTTACCAGCAGGAGGAAGGAGGTCCTGATTCTCCTATATAGATCTTTATATCACTAGAAAGGTCACCAGCAGGAGGAAGGAGGTCCTGATTCCCCTATATAGATCTTTGTCACTAGAGGGGTCACCGGCAGGAGGAAGGAGGTCCTGATTCCTCTATATAGATCTTTATATCACTAGAGGGATCACCAGCAGGAGGAAGGAGGTCCTGATTCTCCTATACAGATCTTTATATCACTAGAGGGGTCACCAGCAGGAGGAAGGAGGTTCTGATTCTCCTATATAGATCTTTATATCACTAGAGGGGTGACCAGTAGGAGGAAGGAGGTCCTGATTCCTCTATATAGGTCTTTATATCACTAGAGGGATCACCAGCAGGAGGAAGGAAGGTCTGCACTCTGTAAAAACTCAATGCGCAAAGTAACAGGTCTCCTAGAAACTTCCCCTGAAAACCCAAAATTCAAGCAACACAATGTCAAGTGTCCTGCAGGCTCAGGAACATCATATAGATCTTTATATCACTAGAGGGATCACCAGCAGGAGGAAGGAGTTCTGATTCCTCTATATAGGTCTTTATATCACTAGAGGGATCACCAGCAGGGGGAAGGAGGTTCTGATTCCTCTATATAGATCTTTATATCGCTAGAGGGATCACCGGCAGGAGGAAGGAGATCCTGATTCTCCTATATAGATCTTTATATCACTAGAGGGATCACCGGCAGGAGGAAGGAGGCCCTGATTCCTCTACATAGATCTTTATATCACTAGAGGGGTCACCAGCAGGAGGAAGGAGGTTCTGATTCCTCTATATAGGTCTTTATATCACTAGAGGGATCACCAGCAGGAGGAAGGAGGTTCTGATTCCTCTATATAGATCTTTATATTGCTAGAGGGATCACCGACAGGAGGAAGGAGATCCTGATTCTCCTATATAGACCTTTATATCACTAGAGGGATCACCAGCAGGAGGAAGGAGGTCCTGATTCCTTTACATACATCTTTATATCACTAGAGGGATCACCAGCAGGAGGAAGGAGGTCCTGATTCTCCTATATAGATCTTTATATCACTAGAGGGGTCACCAGCAGGAGGAAGGAGGTTCTGATTCTTCTATATAGATCTTTATATCACTAGTGGGGTCACCAGCAGGAAGAAGGAGGTTCTGATCCCTGTATATTGATCTTTAGTTAGATCTCATTTAGAATACTGTGTCCGGTTCTGGAGACCTCACTTACAATAAGATATTGATAAGATAGAACAAGTCCAGAGACGGGTAAAAAAAATGGTGAAAGGTCTGGGGGATAAAACATATCAAAAGCGACATCCATAACTTAACCTGTACAGTCAAAGAAGGGAAAAGGGGAGACATGACTTCAACATTTAAATACATCAAGGGGGTAATAAGGTTCAGGGAGGGCATGGTTTTTCAACATGAAACAAGAATCAGGAACATGGGTACATGACCTTAAACTAACTGGAGGAAAGTTCAAAACTATTCTCAGAAAGTACAATTTTACTGAAAAAGTAGTTGATACTTGGAATAAACTTCTAGCAGAGGTAATGAGCCAGTCAACAGTAAATAGCTTCAAACATGCCTGGGACAAGCATAGATCTATACTCAGACAAACCAGATAAAAAATGCACACAAAAAAAGTCAGACTCGATGAACTACTCGGCCTTTTTGTGTCATCACTTTTCTATTAATAAATTTTTTTTTTTGTCAGGTTGTTTTTTATTATGATTATTTTTAATTTTTTTTTTTTTTTAAGGATTAGAGGGTTAAGGTTAGGGGATTATTTATGTATTTATTATAATATATTCATTTATTTTATTTGTTTATAATTATTTTTTATTTGTGTATTCTATTTATTTTACATTTATTTATTTATTATTATTTTACATTTTTACACTTGAGCAGAAAAATGCTCCAAAAACGGTCAACTCCAATCATTTCTATGGAATAAAAAATGCTCAAAAATGAGCAAATCAGCTCATCTTGAGTGACAAAAAAGCTCCAGAACTTGCTTTTAGCTTCAAGAGACCCCATTGAGAATAAATTATTTTTTCTCAAGCATTTTGAAGATTTGAGCTACAAATCACTGTGTATGGGGCCTACCTGTGGGCAGCCAGCTGTGACTCCTTGTGGCTTCACAGTCGGCTGCCCACTGCACACACACAAGCCACGCTGCTCTTTTTGAATGGTCCCACAGCATTCTGGGACCTGTGCCATGTCCCAGAAGGTTGCAAGCAAGGGGAGGAGAACTTCTCTGTGGCGATATGACCAGAAGCGGGAGCAGCTACCTGTCAAAACCAGGTACCTGCCCCCCCCACACCAAAAATATATTCCAAATACAGCGGTGGGGGGGTGGGAGGAGGAGGAGCAGAACTTTAGGTGAAGTTCTGCTTTAAGTCCAGGATGTGTTGCCATCAGACAGCCACTGCCTTGCCATCAAACAAGCACAGTCTCATTAGGTCTTGCCATGCATGGCTGCCTTTTGGTACAGGTAGTAGTTTTGAGTTGTATGTAGCCATTGCATGCTGCTGGAAAAATAAATTTATAAAGGTAAAGTAGCATATACACTATATTGCCAAAAGTATTGGGCCAGGCCTCCAAATCATTAGATTCAGGTATTCCAATCGCCTCCATGGCCACAGGTGTATGCAATCAAGCCCCTAGGCATGCAGACTGCTTCTACAAACATTGGTGAAAAAATGGGTCGCTCTCAGGAGCTCAGTGACTCCAAGCGTGGTCCCGTGATAGGTTGTCACTTGTGCAATAAGTCCATCCGTGACATTTCCTGGCTACTAAATATTCCACACTCAACTGTTAGTGGGATTATAACAAAGTGGAAGCAACTGGGAACAACAGCAACTCAGCCACCAAGTGGTAGGCCATGTAAAATGACAGAATGGGGTGAAGTGCAGAGAAGTCGCCATCTGTTTGTAGAATCAATAGCTAAAGACCTCCAGATTTCATGCTTCTCTGTTTGGCTATCCGATGGACATGTCTGGGTTTGTCATTTGCCAGGAGAACAGTACTTGCCTGAGTGCATTGTGCCTAGTGTAAAGTTTGGTTGAGGGGGATTATTTTTCAGGGGTTGGGCTTGACCCCCTAGTTCCAGTGAAGGGAATTCTTAATGCTTCAGCATACCAAGACATTTTGGACAATTTCATGCTTCTAAGTTTGTTGGAAGAGTTTGGGGATGGCCCCTTCCTGTTCCAACATGACTGCACACCAGTGCACAAAGCAAGGTCCATAAAGACATGGAGGAGCGAGTCTGGGTGGAGGAACTTGACTGGCCTGCACAGAGTCCTGACCTCAACCCCATAGAACACATTTGGGATGAATTAGAGTGGAGACTGCGAGCCAGGCCTCCTCCCCCGACAACAGTGCCTGACCTCACAAATGTGCTTCTGGAAGAATGGTCCAACCTTCCCATAGACACCCTCCTAAACCTTGTGGACGGCCTTCCCAGAAGAGTTGAAGCTGTTATAGCTGCAAAGGGCGGGGCCAACTCAATATTGAAACCCTACGGACTAAGACTGGGGGGCCATTAAAGTTCATGTGCGTGTAAAGGCAGGTGTCCCAATACTTTTCGCAATATAGTTTATATTGGGGGGGGTCAATTTTGATCAAGCATGTAGTGACTAACATTTGCAAAATGTATATATTGAGGGTTTCAGTAGCACTTTAATTTAGCTCAAAACCGCAGCAGACGCATGAATCTTAGAAATGTTTCAGTAGTGAGGATGTTGCTATAGTATGACCATGTCTACCGAGTTTGATCGTGGCGGCGGAGGAAACCCTGCCTGTCTGGATGGCCTTGTACTAATGCTTTGAAATGTTACACGACATCCGTGGTCTGAGCGCCGCCGGGCTGTTGACGCTGCAGTTTTTTCGGCGAGAAATGTGAACTCTTACATGGTGCCATGCGAAGAGCCGTTTCACAATCCCACATAACTTGTCCTGGGTTTGTTTCCAGCTTCTAAGCGTTCTCTGTACCTGTCAGAGTGAAGCTGCACCAGTTAATGCATCATGCCTGTCAAAACTCGGTGGTTTGTTTTCATTTATCCTGTATCACGAAACAGATGTACGGAAAGGGTTACGAATCATAAAGAGCCGGTTATGTCAAGATATAGATTTTTCATCCATGCAAGGCTGTTATTGGAGAACTCCAGGCAAACGGTTAAGAAGATGGCTAAAATAAATATGTGAAGTGTTTTACTGGTGGTGAGATTTGTAATTTTGTCCTGCCATTCGTGTGGTACACAACTCTGCTGATCACTAAGGTCACTTTGCTCCTTGCTTGTTTGCCAACTATGCTTCTAAGATATCTGCCTGCTCGCTGAAAGAGCCAATAATGCTAATTCACTGTCCAATAAGGAGACTGGAGGCAAAGAGGTGACAAAGGAAGCTGCGTTGCTTAATTTGTCATCCATCTGGCTGTTCAATGTGGGAAAATGTGTATAATATAAGACTGACTGTTCAGAATCACAAATACTTTGGCAAGTAAACAGATCTTTTTAACCTCTTGGCTCCGGCCGCACGCCAATGTGCGGCCTCCCGGCGTCTGGGCCTTGACGCTGAGTGTCCGCACATTTACGTGCAATTAAGAAGAAACATATGTGCTGAGAGCGCGCACCCCCAGCACACATGCCTGGTACTCACAGAAAAGTCCTGATCTCCTCTTTTGATCGGGACTTTTCCCGATCATGTGACTGCTGTGACAGAGTGTCACGGTGGTCACATGACCCTAAACCCCGCCCACACCTCCCGGCTTCTGAAACCCTTTAAAGGGCCGGGAGGCGCCAGCGCCAAAGGGTTAAAGCTATATTCCTGGATAAGCAAACATTGTCTAAATACAAGAGGCATGTGTATTCTTACTTGTACCTTGTGCAGAAGCTTCCTCTGCAAAAGACCAGTAACTGCTGCTCTCTTCTTAAGCAGGGTGACTGGTCTTCTCTCCGCCCCCATCAGTTTTCTGCAGGCGGCCTGTAATGCGTGGAGCCTTCTGGGTCTCTCCCACAGCTCTACTCAGCACAAGCTATGTTCAGCACAGCGTTGATGTCACTGCTACTTTTCCAGCAATTTTCAGTCTGGCTCCTTTGACTTTTCAGTCCAGGGATGTAAGACGGGAGGGTGGCGACAGGGTCACCCACATACAGTCAGATCCATAAATATTAGAACATCGACTCAATTCCAACATTTTTCGCTCTATACACCACCACAATGGATTTGAAATGGAACGAACAAGATGTGCTTTAACTGCAGACTGTCAGCTTTAATTTGAGGGTATTTACATCCAAATCAGGTGAACGGTGTAGGAATTACAACAGTTTGCATATGTGCTTCCCACTTGTTAAGGGACAGAATAATAATCATAAATCAAACTTTCACTTTCTAATACTTGGTTGCAAATCCTTTGCACTTGTTAAGGGACCAAAAGTAATGGGACAATTGGCTTCTCAGCTGTTCCATGGCCAGGTGTGTGTTATTCCCTCATTATCCCAATTACAACGAGTAGATAAAAGGTCCAGAGTTCATTTCAAGTGTGCTATTTGCATTTGGAATCTGTTGCTGTCAACTCTCAAGATGAGATCCAAAGAGCTGTCACTATCAGTGAAGCAAGCCATCATTAGGCTGAAAAAACAAAACAAACCGATCAGAGAGATAGCAAAAACATTAGGCGTGGCCAAAACAACTGTTTGGAACATTCTTAAAAAGAAGGAACGCACCGGTGAGCTCAGCAACACCAAAAGACCCGGAAGACCACGGAAAACAACTGTGGTGGATGACCAAAGAATTCTTTCCCTGGTGAAGAAAACACCCTTCACAACAGTTGGCCAGATCAAGAACACTCTCCAGGAGGTAGGTGTATGTGTGTCAAAGTCACCAATCAAGAAAAGACTTCACCAGAGTGAATACAGAGGGTTCACCACAAGATGTAAACCATTGGTGAGCCTCAAAAACAGGAAGGCCAGATTAGAGTTTGCCAAACGACATCTAAAAAAGCCTTCACAGTTCAGGAACAACATCCTATAGACAGATGAGACCAAGATCAACTTGTACCAGAGTGATGGGAAGAGAAGAGTATGGAGAAGGAAAGGAACTGCTCATGATCCTAAGCATACCACCTCATCAGTGAAGCATGGTGGTGGTAGTGTCATGGCGTGGCCATGTATGGCTGCCAATGGAACTGCTTCTCTTGTATTTATTGATGATGTGACTGCTGACAAAAGCAGCAGGATGAATTCTGAAGTGTTTCGGGCAATATTATCTGCTCATATTCGGCCAAATGCTTCAGAACTCATTGGACGCTTCACAGTGCAGATGGACAATGACCCAAAGCAGACTGCAAAAGCAACCAAAGAGTTTTTTTAAGGGAAAGAAGTGGAATGTTATGCAATGGCCAAGTCAATCACTTGACCTGAATCCGATTGAGCATGCATTTCACTTGCTGAAGACAAAACTGAAGGGAAAATGCCCCAAGAACAAGCAGGAACTGAAGACAGTTGCAGTAGAGGCCTGGCAGAGCATCACCAGGGATGAAACCCAGCGTCTGGTGATGTCTATGCGTTCCAGACTTCAGGCTGTAATTGACTGCAAAGGATTTGCAACCAAGTATTAAAAAGTGAAAGTTTGATTTATGATTATTATTCTGTCCCATTACTTTTGGTCCCTTAACAAGTGGGAGGCACATATGCAAACTGTTGTAATTCCTACACCGTTCACCGGATTTGGATGTAAATACCCTCAAATTAAAGCTGACAGTCTGCAGTTAAAGCACATCTTGTTAGTTTCATTTCAAATCCATTGTGGTGGTGTATAGAGCCAAAAATGTTAGAATTGTGTACATGTCCCAATATTTATGGACCTGACTGTAGCGTACTACAGCTGGTTCATCAGTAACAGGCCAAATTTACATAGTACCAGCAAACACAAATGCTCCTGCGCTTGGGGATGGAATCGATGCAGGCAACAACCACATTAAGAATGCCCTGGAACATGCACACCTTGCTGCCCTCAAATAGACGGGGGGAATCCAAATATGAGGAAAGAACAAACAGAGGGCGCAGAGGCCTAGTGCATTGCCATAAAAAATGTTTAATAAGAAAGTATGTGTTGTACTCACAAACGACAATAAAGTCAAGGCACTTCATAAAAGAACAGCTGGGTCAACACCGCGCTGAGTAACAGTCCGCAATAGGGAGTGTAGACATCCAATAGGCTGACACGTTTCGAGGACTTGCCTCTTTCTCAGAGCCCTTCCTCAAATTTACATAGTGTATGGCCAGCTTTAGTCTGAGGTGAGTGCTAGACTAGTCTGTGCTGCTCATCTGCAAAGCTGTCTGGTTGGGATTCCTGGATCACAAGACTTGCTGAACATATTATACATTTGTTGCAAATAAGACCATTCACATATACAGTACAATGGGTAAAATAAGTATTGGAAGCGTCACCATTTTTCTAGGTAAATATATTTCTTAAGGTTGACATGAAATTTTCACCACATGTCGGTAACAGCCCATGCAATTCGTACATACAAAGAAACCAAAACAAATAAGTTTTGAAAGTAAGTTATGTGATAAAATGGATTGGCACACGGAAGTATTGAACACGCTAACTGAATTTTATTCAATACTTCGTACAAAATCCTTTGTTGGTAATGACAGCTTCAAGATGCCTCCTGTATGGAGAAACTAGTCACATGCATTGCTGAGGTGTGATTTCGGCCCATTCTCCCATACAAACAGTCTTCAAATCTTGAAGATTCTGTGGGCCTCTTCTATGAACTCTGAACTTTCGTTCTTTCCATAGATTTTCTGTTGGATTCAAGTCAGGTGATTGGCTGGGCCATTCTAGCAGATTTATTTTCTTTCTCTGAAACCAATTGAAAGTTTCCTTGGCTTTGTGTTTGGGATCATTGTCTTGCTGAGATGTCCACCCTCGTTACATCATCATCCTGGTAGATGGCAGCAGACTTTTGTCATGGATGTCTTGGTATTTTTTTCCATTCATCCTTCCTTCAAAGAAATGAAGTTTGCCAGCACCGTATGCTGAAAAC